ATCTAAAAAAAAATATATATATCGCTCTCCCAATACATTACTCCTCTATATATGTATATATATATATATAAATAAAATAATAATAATAAATTACTAAAAAAGCTCAAGAATTACAACAATAGTAGAAATATAAGGGAATCAATCTAGAAGGTTCATTTAAGAAATCATAATTAGAGAACTAACCTTTTTTTTAGGAACCCTACATACACGCAAGTAGTCATCTTCATTCAGCTGCAATGGCCTATGATCAAACAGGGTGTTATGTAGAATTGCCTTCTTTGGGTTGCAAGAGGGGTCCACCAAGTCTGTGCAATGCAAATATATTTAAAAATTAAAAATGTAAAAGTTAAGTGTTACATATCTTAGAAGAAACCTAGCATTGTAAATGATCGAAGGGAACTTATCTACAACTATCAAAACCTTGATGTAAAGAAGATGGGATGATTGATTACAAAATACTATGGTTACACTATAAAACTATTACAACATAAAATGCTTATACTATAAAAATATGTTACTTCAAATGTGATTATAATAAAAGCAAAATTTTTGTTATAATCAAATATACTTTTGTCGGACAAAAATTTGTCTTCGAAATTATCAAAGTAACAGATCGTGCACACCAAAAAAAAAAAAAAGCAAAAGCAAAAAATTAAAATATTGAAAATTTAGATTATAATTCCTTGGTAAAAGTCAAAGTGGATGGAAAATCCTCCCCCTTTCAAGTTGTGCCGTGTTCCCTATTTATAAGAGTCAAACCTCCTTTACTTCATTTGGAGGGAAACGTTAATAGCATGTTAAAAAGCTTGTGTTACATGAATCTCTAGTGGACTCCTAGACTACGAAAAAAGTCGAGGGTTGTTCCTTTTCAATCGTTCTTTTAGTGGTCTTCAACAAACACAATTGACTCAAACAAAGTAATGTGGTCGTCGATCAAATTAGTCTTGCCCTTGTAGGACTCTAATGTTGAAATTTGGAACCTCTCTGGGGGCTCGACACCAGAGATTTACCTTGAAAACGTATTCCTACTCCATAGAAGTGTCTCAGTATCCCCAAACAGATATCGGTCAATCAGTCTCAACCAAGCACTATCGAAGTACTGGGAGTCACATTCTATTTTCAAATCCTAAGAGATTCTTTGGCCATTAGGCATCGGCCCTTTCTCTCAGGAGTGCTGCTCTCTTCCACAAGACAGTGCATCTCAGATGAAATTAAACATTTGATCTTTCAACACTTAAATCCGTCGGTTCATACTCTCTGTTGCACTTATCTCCGTTATGGGTTTCTTCTCCGAAAATTGTTCCTCTTCACACTATAATTTTTAGAATGTTCACTTCACTCACACACACTCTAAAGTTTTGCAAGCTTCCTGCTTAACACAGTTTTTATATCATCACTAAGGAGCTTAAACATGGCTCATCTCATTTTTTTTACTTTAAAAAAAAAGGATTTTAATGGTATGTACCAGGTTCAGTGAGGCGAATAGAGTACTGAAAATCTGTTTTTGGACGGCCTCCATAGGGCATCTCATCTCTTGCTTCATTATTTTCCGCCTGAAGTTTCACAACCAACAAAATAAGGGTCTAAATTAAAAAATCCTATTAAAAATCATACATACTTTGGGCAGATCTGAAATAGCATCACCAAGCAACAAAGCCTTCGGAAGATGTGGTCGTTGACCTTCATTATAAGCAACAATGTTTTGCTAAACAAATAGAATCACCTGTTATTATGCTTCTCTGCCACACTAATTATTTTTTTACCATATAATAAATCTATATTTACCTCAAATTTCACAGGTGCACCACCTCGAACAAGTACATCATGTGTAGGTAATGGAAATTGTGGTAAAACCTGAAAATGAAAACAATATTAATAACATTGATCCAAAATATAAGAATAAATACGAAATAATTTATAAACATACCACACAATTCCTATGTTTTTATATATCTAACACCTAAACTTTCATATTTACATGCAAAAAATTTAAATTTATTACTAATACATAGATTTTAATAGAGAAGTACAGCTTTTTGTGCATTGGTTCATAACACCAAAATATTATAAAGATAAATATGAAAGTTTAAGTGTCAGGTTTATAAACAAAAGAATTGTGTTGTATGTAGGCAAAATTCTCTCATTGCATATATAAAATACCTCACTTGGCTGAGCGCCCCAGAGAAATACTCTCATTCGAAATTGGGGAAGACCGTAACATCCAGCAGCCATTATTCCTAACCTAGATTGATAGTTCATTTTAACCAGCTTGCTTAATGCAAACCGTCCAAGATAACCTTCAGCAAACTTCAGAATGTCAACAACATTCTCCATCAAAACAAATTTAGGCTTAAGAAAATCCACAATTTCCATAAATACAGCCATTTGTTGGTTTCTGATGTCCGCAAGTGGATTATTAAAATCTCTAAATCTGTTGAACCCACTTATACCTTGGCAAGGAGGACCCCCACAAATAACATCAACAACTCCCTATAAAACGTAACAAAATTATTGTGAATGTAAACCTTATCAAATGAATATATATATATATATATATATATATACAAGTGTGTGTGTGGGTGAATGACCGAAGACTATTAGACGAGCCTCAGTCATCCCTAGGTGTGCTAAATATTCGAATACCACACTCTACATAGGAAAATTTGAACCCGTGACCTGAGGGTACTTACGGCCTTCAAAGAGACTGCTCTACCAACAGGCCACGATACACCCACGCGCCTCCACAGATAATTATTCGTATACATAACTATATATAGAGAGAGAGGGCTTATAAAGTACAAATTGAAAAGTAACTCACAGGCAAAGGTAAAATTTTGTTTCTGTATCCTTTTCGAACAAAATTTTCAATTCTTTCTGAACATTTGCTACATAAGATTAAAGAAGTACATGTTAACAACAAATAAAGAACAAGTTATATAAAACATGAAAATAGTACCGTAGGCCACTAATGGGTTCCCATGTATCTTCACTTGCTCCATATCCTTTCCACCGCACCTATTCAATAATAAATACAAAAAAGATGAAATGTGCAAAGAGCATTCAGCATGAACCCTGAGAAATATAAAACTGGTTCTAAGAAATCTTCATATGAGGAACGACTAGGCAATTTCACTTTGTGTCAAATGTCACCTTAAACATCAACTCCTTTTTCCCAATTTCATTTGGATCTCCAAAGCAAATATCCACAAAATGATCCACCTCAAACTCCCCTTCAGATACAGGAGTTGAATCAATATCACCATCATCATCACTAAGATCATCCGTCTCTTTGTTGGGCTTCGGTGGATGTTTCACGTCCAAAGAAAAATTCTCACATAATTTCTTCCACTCTCTTAAAAGAACAAGAAAATCTTCAGCCCTCTCATTTCGGACCTTCAATTTAACCACGATAAAAGATTAATGCCTGATCATTAAAAAAAATAATAAAGCACGGATTCTCCATTAGATTAAACTTCAAAATAAAATTCAACCTTGTAAATTTGTAGGAAAGAATTTTAGTACAATCTTGAACAGCTAAGAGGGTGTTTGCTAGCCTGAGTTAAGCGAGATTTATGTATTATGCAATGTTAATTCAACCAAACAAAAAAATCTGAAAAATTAAATCCACAGTTCATTAAATCCAATTTTCTTTGGCTTCAGTTAATTTTCTAACATAAAACTGGGTTTATTAAATCAGACTATCATGTGGATTTAACAAATTTAGCTAAGGAAGAAAGTCATATAAGTGAATTTATGCCAAACACAGTAAAAGAACTTAATGGATTTAATCATAAATTGAACAAACAGTATTCTGAATTTAGAGCATTTGGATTGGATAAATCCAGATTTACCGGAATTAATAAATCCTATTTCGCTTAAATCTTAGTTGCAGCCAAACACCCCCTAAACTAAAAAAACAATAATAAAGGACCAATAATTAATTACTCAGAATGCATTAACATAGAACTAACAAGAAAATAGTTTATAATAATACAATTAAATCAAGCATCAAGCCATGGACATTTGATGGATACCTTGGTTTTCAGATGATTCAATCGCAAGCTTTGGCAGGCAAATGAATTAAGATCTACAGCCCAAGTCTACAACAAAAACATGACCAAAATAAATTAAGAAGGGAAATTAGAGAAAGATCTTCACAATAAATGAAATTATGAACCAAAAGAAAAAAAAGGTGATTTTTTGTTTCATGACTAAGTTAACGTTCACAGCTTACAGTGTGAAGATTTAGACCGGCAAGTTGAGCGCCATTGCACAAGCCAGTGGACATTGCTCCACAACCAGAGTACAAATCTAGTAAATTGGCATTAGTTGAAGAAGATGCCTGTTCAAAACCTTCCTCACTTGAAGTAGTTGACAAGGAGCTAACACCACTAGTATCATCTATGGCAATAGAACCATGGCATGCAGTCACAATAACAAAGATAAAATATATAAATAATAGAATGCTAAATATAAACAAAACATATCCAGAAGTACCTTTAGGGAGACTAGCAAAAGTGGAATAAGAGGGCGAGTATGACATATCATAATAATAATCACACTCCGGAATCTCATCTTTTATAGGCAAACCAATCTACAAAGTATATTATAATGAATAAAAATCAAAATAATTAAATAACACGTCATATAGATAATGTAATGCAGACGTCAAGATTTTTTAATCAAACACTAGAAATTACATTATTTTTTATACGAATAATTCTAATTTTGCTAACAATGCAATCTAATTCATTATCATTTTGGTCTTCCGACAAGAAGACTCTTCTTTTATCATGGTCATTGGCATGATAACTAATTACCTACAAGAAAAAATAAAAGTTTGATTAGATCATTTATGATGACTAAAAAATTGAAACACATGTTTTGTGAATCAAATAACTTACAGTATCCTCAGCTTTATAGAACCATTGGGTCCTAAAATACAGCTTCCCTTCAATAGTTTCAAAAAATTCAATAATACGCCCAATATAATTTGGCTCATCATCACCAGCCTAAAAAACAAGCAGAAATGGCTTGTATCACTATGCAAGTTTAACAAAAAAAATAGCAGCAATAGTAGTCAGTAACGATAAAATATACTCAAATAATAATAATAATATAATAATAATAATAGTAGTAATCCATAGCTAACATGCCACAATCACGAAACTGAAAAACCTCAAGTCCACACGGACCATAATTTTGATTAGAAAAGTATTAAGAAAAGTATATTGAGTGAAAATGACGAGATTTTTACAAATCATGTACATGTCCCACAATTAGAGTGAGACATAAGAAAAATTTTCCAACCAAAATTGAACTTGCAATAAAAGCACTTGATTTAGTGGTAGAAAACTAAGAATTATTTTTATTCAGTTATAGATGGACTGTAAATCATGCGTTTATAAAAACTTTACTAAGAACAGGCAGAATTTCCGTTAAAGGATAGGTTAATGCACCAATGCAAATGAAACACAAAAAACGAAAGTACAACTAATGAAATTTAAGAAAGCATAAACGTGTTACCAATATGACTGCATATATAAACCAATTGCATTGTTAACTTATACGCTGCATGAATAGTATAACTGAATAAGATGGAATCTTTAGTATTGATATAATTTGTAATCATAGAAATAACTAAGAGGTTAGAAGCGTAGACAATTTTTTGGCAGATAACTGTCCTAAGATATAACGAATCCATACAGTTGAATTTCACCTTGACATGTACGTCATCATTGAGGTTGTAGGTAACGTCATCAACCATTGCCTGATGATAATGGAGTTTTGCTTTGGCGGGTTCATCATCACCTTCGCTGCCACAGAAAATTTAAATGGTTGAAATGGTGACATTGACGATGAATGCAATCGCTAGCAACAAAAATTTCTCAGCTATATATCTTGAGACTAATAATTTCTCCAAAACAGAAGTGTTAATTAAACCATGTTCAAAATTAAAAAAGAGAGAGGAAATGCAACAGCCAAAATTGCATTTGATAGGTGAGATAAAGCGATTAGATAGTGCAACTATTGAAGAAAATGGAGACGATCCCACTCATGTAGAATAAATAAAATGTTTTATTTAAAAAAAAAAAAGATGCAAGCTTTCAGTCAAGAAGCGTACTTTCCATAGACCGATGAAGATAGTGACTTTCGCCCACCAGCCTAGAAAGATTAAAAAAACACAAACAATTAAACAATGGGGAAAATGTATGAAGTATTTTTGCAAATGCAATGAAATAAAGCAAGTTCATAAAAAAAAAAACCAAACAAAAAAATCCACGCAGAAAAAACATAATTAACTTCCGTTTGCTTCATCGTTTTCAAATAAAAAGAATAGTAAACAAATTACTAGCAAAATGAAGCCAAATTTTCATAAACGCTACGGCAGGACAAAAACTAATCAACTAAATTGCTTGCACTTTCGTTTATCATGCTATGGCAATGCATTTAATCACACCAACAACGTAATCACAAGGCTCATTTATTATCTACCTTTTTTCTTTCATTTATTTATTCTCAAGTGAATAAGAAACAATAAAGAAAAATTTGCTTAACAATTTCAACTAATTATTATAGCCAAGTTAAATCTAACAAGATACTTGAACTTGCAGAAATTTAAAATAAATGTTTGTAAAGTGAAATTGAAGTGATTGACTATTCTGAAGGATTAAATAAATCTATTAAATTTTAATAATCCTCACAGTTTATCCAAAAATTTACATTCACATGGTCATAAACATGGTTCGTGAATCAATTGTAACTGTGAAGTGTATTTTCCATAATCACGTCCATAACAAAAAATTTTTAATAAATTTTAGTTTATTTTTAAAATTTATGGATGCCAAACTAGAGCTGCTGTTTACACCTAGTTCTTTATACCTACCAACACATGTTACTTTATAAATTAAAAAAAAAAAACAAAGCAATAGTTGCAAGGTATTACTTAATTTCTTTCCTTATTCAACCTTATGCTAAAATTGAAACTACATCAGTAATATGATAAGAGATTAAAAGTTATTTTAATTTATTTCATTCAAAAGGGTTTCTTTGTTAAATTTTAGACATTGCCCTCTAAAAAGAGAAAATATTACGTCCAATAAACAGACGTGTGGTCGACAGTGTGAATCATACCACGCCGCCAAAAGCATAGTGTGTTGGGATTCATGTCATCGTCCACAAGTCTGAATGTAATATTGCCTCCTCTAAAATACTAAGAATGACAATTGAAAGTTAAAAGTCTTCAAAAAATAACATTGATGACTGTAACGATATCAAGTAACCAACAAAATGGTCAAACATAAAAATAATATTTTTTGATAAGTTTAACCAATACAAGAATTGTGTTTAAAGTTGAAAATGAGTGAAAATGAGAGAAGATCAAGAAATACAACATAGTTTGTCTCCAAATTAATGGTCATTTGTCTTTGAATGCAGTTGTAGTCATAAACAACTCTCATCAAACCATAGAAACCATCTATTTTTGCATTCACATATATTGTTTTCCCCATTTTTGGGTTCATTTTTTTAAGGCCAAGCTTTTCTTTAGTAATTAATATCAAAGATAAGTACGATTGTGTTCTTCAATTAAAGTAGAAGCAACAGTGCAAAAAGATGAAGGTGTGAAAATCAATCAATTTGATAACAATAATTTTGAGAAATAATAATGCAAATAAAGAATTATCTATATGAAAGAAAGTTATATCTACCACTTTTTGAGTTAAAACTAACAATTGTAATCCAAGAAAACAAGAATTTCTTAAATACCCAAGTATCAGAGTTGTATGCTAATCAAGTATCAAGAGTTGTATGCTAATCAAGAGTTGTGTACAAACTAATTACTAATTTTACACCCAAAAATGACCTACACAAATCTCAACAATCTAGATAAAAAAATAGATGACGAAAAAGTGCCAAAAATGATTATGAATATCAAAATGCAACATAAAAATATGCAGCTCTCATTAAAGCGGATCCGATAAAAAGATAATAATATGTAAATTCCCCATTAAAGTAGAGGAAAGCATATAATTTTAGACTTGATCCCTCTATCTCCTATAAATAGAGGAATCATACCATATACAAGGAGGAATATAAGGGCTTTTGGCTTTTTTCTCTAGATTCATCTTCTGTAAAAAAAAAATCTCTTTTTTTTCTTTTGTACTCCTATAGTGTGTGTAGTGTGTGTGTGTCTATATATATATATATATATATATATATATATATATATATGTACGATCAATTAGCCCGAGGATATCCCAATTCTCTCTACGAGACAAGTTTGTGCATGTTATTATTTTTTTTTCACTTCTTCGTCTCTTTTTCCTCTCAAGGTTCCTACCACGATCCTTGAGTATGCGTCACAAAATAAATTTGAATTCAACAACCTAAAAAATATGGTGAACGTAAATATTTTCAACAATAAGAAAAGCAACAACAACAAAAAAATACATCTCAGAGACACTCCAAACAATAAGTGTGTTAAAGAGTTCATGCAACAACTGGTCTAAAGCTGGAAATATCATTTTCGTCGTCTTCCTAGAGGTTATGACTACGAGGTGAGAACCGTAAAACGAATTGTAAACTTTCAACGGTCAAAACAAGTAGATCAACTTTACCTGCACACTGCTCGGTCATTTCTGATTAGCTGACACTTCATCCAGCAAATAAAGAGAGTGTTACTTCATAATTTAGGTTGTGTTATTACACAAATTTATCTAACGTTGACCCATTTTCAACTGACACTCGAGAAACTCAATTCCGAGTGAGTGAACAAGACGTTAACAACAAAATACTCCCCTTCGGAACAAGTAAAAATACTTCCCTCTGGGGCGAACAAACAAAAAAGTCTCTTTAGAGGCGAGCAAATAACACACTTTCCTTTGGGGCAAGCAAAAAAAAAAAAAAAAAAAAAACCCCCCCCCGAAAGCAAGCAAGCGAAAAACTTCAGAGCGAGCAAAAACAAAAACTCCCCTTCAAGGGTGAGCAAACAAAAAAAACATCTAGTATGCATGTAAATTCTAATCAAACTCAATTCAAGTTGACATGTTTTGTCAATTTTTGACAGCCCTAATTAAATCATATTTTTAAGCATGTAAATTTTATTTCACAATTAATTCATAATTTCCAAACTCCTACTCCATTTTACACTTTCCCCAATCCCCTTTAATTCCCAAGCTCTTCTTATGCAAGTACATTACAATATAATTCAACAAGTTAACGTGTGATTGAAGGTGAACTTGACAAGTAACTTACCAAATTTTAAAGAGAAATGCATATACAAAAATTTCTCTATTTGCTTTATTTTAATTCAATTTTCAAGCAAAAAGAGAAAGCAAACTAGATCAACATGAAATAGGCATTTTTGACGTAATGAATATGAATACAACTTATTAAGGGATCGAACTCATAAAATTGTTTCATTAGCTAATAATTCCAAAGAATTCGGCAGCCAATCCTAGCTTTACGTTTAAATGATAAAGTTCATTAAGATTATTAATTATCCTGCTAAATTTTAATGTACAATTAATTTTAATTAAGATTCAAAATCTTAATAAAATTAATTAAGCATCTTAATTCCATAAATCAAGCATAGTTTAAGGATTACAATTCATAAAGAGTTGAATAAGCATAGCAATATTTATAGGAATTGAATTAAAAAAAGAAAACTCTAAGTTGATTAAGCTTTAACAATGATGTACTAATCATTATAAAAAATAAAGAAACCCTTGGGCTCTAATAATATGATCTATTGCTCTAAAATCCAAAATTTTGCTAGCCTTTGTACTTTAGTTCTATTGTTTTTTTTAATTATATCAATTAAATTCTTCTAAAAAAGTAATTTTATATTTTTATTATGATCTTTTCTTCACATTTTTCCTAATCCAAAAAATAAACATAATTAATCACACATGTTATTGGATATTTTATGTTTGACTGCTGTCTATCAACAATAAGTTATTAAAAAATCTGCAAATAACTATCAATAACATACATTAATAATCATATTTAGAAAACAATAAACAAATACCTTCAAATACATAAAGACCTAGTTCAATAATGGGGAGGATTAAAACTTCAAAAAAAACCATCGCATTTATAAAATGGAAATCATCAAATTTGATCTAATGAATAAGTATTTAATAAATCTTAGAAATAAAATTTAATTTGGCTAAAATTTATTAAATGAAAAGTAGAATACTAAATAATAAAGGTTGATTGAGGATAAATGATTGAGTTATTTTTTCCTTATTTGTATAATTTGAATGTTGTCTGATTAGACAAGGAAAAATGGATTTCACTTTGGAAAATGAAGGTTCTAGCTTATTTGATTAGTTTCCTACACATAAAGAATTAATCCTAATTTCAAAATAAACAGAACATTTTAATTAACAATTTCAGTTGGGCAAATAATTAACAATGTTAATTAGTCAAAATAAAAAGCTTTAATTACTAATGAAAATTTAAATTCATTTAGATACTTAATTTCAAGAAGGGTAATCAAATGATATCATGCAAACAAATTTTTAAGTTAATACTTAATACCCTTAAATATATGTAATTAAGATTATAAATTTGATTATTGCTAGATGCATTAATTCTACTTTTGTCAGAAAACAAATAAATACACTTTTTCAAGGGCAGTGTGAGCACTTCAATCAAGTAGATAAAAATTATTCATTCTATCAGCCAATATTCTACAAAATATGAGACCATTTTATTTAGCGGATAAGTTCTTAAATCTAACCTCTTAGGGTTCAAACACGATTAAAACAAATTTAATTTTCGCATGATTCATTTGTTACGCATTCTCACAGAGTGTTGGCTACATAAAGAATTTAGTGTTGGTGGGATTTAGTAAATTCATATTCATTAAAACTATCTCCTTGTTGAATTTATTAAATCCGGATTTAACATGAATCGAGACCTTGAATCCAACATTTCTAAAATCCATAAAACTTGAGTTTTTTGTTTTTTTTTTTTTTTCTAAATATGATGACTATTATTAGATCCAACGGATAAACACTATTAATATGGATGCTACCAAACACCCCCTTAGTATACCATGTTTAGGGCTGCTAATTACCTTCTTCGTGTATCTCTCCGGCCATCTCATTTGAGCTTCACTGACAGGAACAGGATCACCCGCAAATCTGCTGCTTGACTCCTCCTGTCTCTTCACTACTTTCTTTCCGGCCGCCCATTTCTTCTTGTCAGACGAATTCACAGCTGGCTCTTCACACAGCCCTTCCTCCTCTACCTTGTTTTCGTTTTCTTTTTGCAGATCCAAAGCCATTCCCTCATCGTCTTCAAGCTTATTCACCACTTCCGGGGCGGGCGCCTTTATCTTCTTCCGCGACGGGCTCTGTCCTTCATACGCAACAGAACCCTCAGCTTTTTTAAGGAAACCGTTAGCAAACTCAGAAGCTACCAAACTTTTTCTCTTCAATGATTCTACCGTCTTCTGCTCACCGGCGTCACCCTGCCGCTGCCGAGTACAGCGGACGGAGGATGAAGGTGTTTCAATGAGCTTCGGCTGGTTATCAAGCGCATTATCCCGCTGGTGAGTGCGGCGCAAAGACGAGGGGGATTCAAGGATCTTCGACTGCTCATCGACTGTATTACCCCGATTCCGAGTACGGCGCACAGAGGAAGAAGGGGATTCGAGCTTCGGCTGTTCATCAACGGCATGTTCCCGAAGCCGAGTACGGCGCGCTGATGATGATAAGGATTCGAGCTTCGGCTGCTCATGGACGGCATTCTCCTGCTGCCGTGTGCGGCAGCGCGCAGTCGATTTAGACATGAGAGGAGAGTGGCGACGGCTCAGCTGCAGGGACGGCGTTTGGTAGCGATTTATCACCGGATTTATAGCCAAACGCTAAAATGCAGGAGCTTCGCCAAACACCCCGTTAGGGTTTCGTCGACATACCTGCAACAGTGCTGACTTGTCGGGGAGATAAATTGCACGCGCGATGTTTGAATTCAGAGAGAGAACAACGAGCGGGAATTGGAATTCTTCTGAGGCAGTAAGTAAAATTTGAATGGTTGACATCCATAGTAGGCTTTTGAGGAAGTGTTATGTTGAAACAAATATGCATTCTGAGTCAAATAGTGGGGTGTCATGTGTCAAGTGGGTTCTACCATTTTTTAACACTAGTCAGTATCAGTGTATTGCGGTGGGGTTCATTTGACACAAGGCGCCCTACTATCAGACTCCGAACACAAATTGCTTTAGGAGTTTTGATGTAATATTCTCTCGTGTTATGTTTTAATATGACAATTGTCCATTAAATAATTTAAATATATATTTTCTTTACTCTAGCAAATCAAACAAAACATCATTTACTATGTTGATTTCTAATGTATGAAGAATTTATTATCATCTATGGAGAATCTTGTAGCATTTATAATAAGAAATATTTCAATTTCAGTATATTTCATGAATTTATGGTGAAACTAGCCTTTACCACAAAAAACATATGATACCAAAATTGGGTCTACCTAAATACAATAAAGCCCAGATCAAGCCATTAAAATATGTTTTGAGATTTTGGATAGTCGAGTAATGGTCAAATGTACTTCAAATATGACATTTATATTCAAATTGAGTGTCTAGTCGTAAGGAATCCAAAGAGTTTATGTTGCTTAATTTTGAGGTCATTGAGGCTATCAAATCACCAAATAATTTCATATGATTAATAGAGATCAATGTGGTTCATTCGATCAAATGGTTCGGGAAGTTATTTGTCATAAAAACTAAAATATCCCTACATCATACGTTATAAATATACCACATATATTTGCTTGGGGAGTAGAAGATAAGCAATTTTGACCTTATTTTGGACAGAAGTCCCGACAATAACTTCTGGCATTTATAATCACCAATCACAATTGATCACCATATGTAGCTGACCACGCTTGCTCGCCACCATCGGCAACTCTTGTTTGCTAACGTATTATCCCAAACAAGACCATAATGCATAATATTGTATTGGAGACCCAAAAATAACTTATGGGCCTCGTAACCATCGATCATTATCTGTCAGTCACTGTCAAAAACCGTTGTCGTCCCTGCTTGTCGTAATTGGTGACCCTTGCTTTCTAATATCATATCTCAAATATGGTTGCAACATATCCTGATGTTTTGGAGCCCCAACAATAACTTCAAACCTTCGTAGTCGTCAATAAACACCGACGACCACCACCCGTTGGCAATCGTCGATAACTGATGCCTGTCCCTGCTCATGGATGTTGGCAACCCTTACTTTTTAACATCGAATCTCAAATACAAATATAATGTATAACATTGTATTGAATATTTGATGATAACTTTCGGTCTTTGGAGTCATTGACCACCGTGGACCACCATCTGTTTGTCGCCATCGACATTGTCAGACACCTCTGCTCATTATCGTTGAAGACCCTTTCTTGCTAATTTCATATCTCAAATATGGTTCTAACATATAATTTGTATTGAAATCTCGGCAATAACTTACAACCTCTGTAGTCTTCGGCAACCATCGATCACTTCATGTCATCCACTATTGACCATCGTTTACCACCCTTGCTCACCTCCGCCGGTGACCTTTGTCTACTGATATCAAATCTCAAGTATGGTGGTTGTTCCTAACACATGTATATTACCAACAAATACAGAGTCTAATGCAAAATTATAACCTTGTTCTGAGCGAGGGGTTAGCCGCTGACTGCAGCCCTTATGCTCAACTGATGCATTTGCAATCACCAATTATAGTCTATGTGGCTAATTGATGCTATTGTAGTGACCAACTAAATCCTATGTGACCAAATAATGTTATTATAGATATCAACTACAACTTTTGTGGTCATCTACTATTGCTACAGCTTCAAACTATGGTCTTTTTAGAGAATAATCAATTATGGCCTATATAGCTGGTTGACAATATTGTAGTCACAAACTACAGTCTATCTGACCAATTACTACTATAAATTTTAACTATGACATCTATGACCAACCGACGTTTTTGCAGTCACTAACTACGACTTATGCGACCAACTAACTTTATTGTAATGAGCAAATATGGCTTATGCGGTCCAGTAACAATATTGCAGTCACCAACTTTAACTTATGTGGCTAACTATTACTATTATAATTTTCAACTATAGCCTCTGTGATCAATTGACGCATTGGCAATCTCCAATTACAATTTATATGGCTAACTAATGATATTATACTCATCGAATAAGACATATATGGCCAATTACGACTATAAATTCCAACTAAGGCCTTTATGGCCAATTAACACTGTTGTAGTATGTCTCATGTTGCCAACTGACGCTATTGTATTCACCAACTACTGTTATGTGACCAATTGATGATATTACAACCTTAAACTACAGCCTGTGTCCAATAACTATTACTACAGATTATAGCTATAGATTTTATGGCCAAGCAACACTATTGCAGTTACCAACTATGATCTTTACGATAAATTGACGATATTACAGCTTCTAACTATGATCTTTATAACTAACTATTATCTGTGCAACAACCAACTATGATCTTTGTGATTATTACTGTTAAACTTCCAAATACAATCTTTTTGACCAACTATCACTATTATAGCCATCGACTATAGCGTTCATGATTAGTTATATTTAGGGTAGCCGATGCTTGAAATCTATTATGATCTAGTTTGGTTAATCATGCAAGTATATGTGTTGATCTAGTAATATATGAAAAGTGAGTTTGTATATTGAACCCACGAGAATATTTGTCAAAATATTCCTCATGGAGGAAGTTCTAATGCACTGCACCACTGATTATAGTTTAAATTTATTCAAGTGTAAACACGAAAATATACCAAAAAGAAATAGTTGAAAAGTCATGAAGTAACTTTGACTCCCTTAAAAGTTATGTAACTCATGTTCATGCGACACCGAATAATGTTTTCTTGATATTTTGTCTTTGAGTTCTCCTATATGATAGTTGACAACTAGGAACACAATCTTGATTAGCTTATTTCTAGGTCTTGAAAAGATTCAAAAATCATACTACACTTAAGAGGGACTTGACCATGCAACATTTCCTATGATTTCTTGGATCCTCTATATATATTGTCATTTCCTAATGACAATATGCTTATTCCATTAGGTTACTAAGGGTCTGTTTGGGACAGCTGCAGTTTATCCAGCTTCTGCTGATAAGCAGCTTACCTGATAATCTGCTGAAGAGCAGCTGATCTAGATAAGTTGTCTGGCTGTTTGGTTTGTGCGTTTGGAAAACAACTCATTCTGGAAAACGATCATTTTGGTTAATTCAGTAGGCGACCAATTGGTTAGGCTATGTTGTGAATTTGTGCAATTTGTAAATAGTTTATTTGCAATTTTTTTTAGTTGAATGAATACTCTGTTTTGGAAAACGATCATTGTGCGTTTGGAATTTTACTTTTGTATGCGTAACTTTGCTCGCTTGATGTGATCGGATATATTTGAGTTATATAAATGTAACTACACCTTTTTGTATTTTCTACACTTTTTTGTATTTTCTTATCTTAACATTTGATCTTTAATTTGATTGAGAAAATAACAAATTTTGCTACACAGAGTATTCATTCAACTAAAAAAAATTGCAAATAAGCTATTTACAAATTGCACAAATCAAACAGCTTGGTTAGGCTATGTTGCGAGAACAGTAAGTAGGGCAGAGAGTTGAGGCGATTCGTAAAGGGTTGCGCAGTTCAAATTTCAGGCTGCTCGTCTCTGATACTCCATAAACTTGAGCAAACCTGTCCAACTGGGATGCAGTAGAAATGGAAGCACTCAAACTAGATGCGGTGTTTTGAAAATGAGCCTCCATAAATGAATAGGTAAAGCTTAAGAATTTTCAAATGAACAGATAAAGCTTGAGAATGTTTTGAAAAAATAATATTTTTTGAAGATTTTGTTAAGTGGTATACAATAAAAACTTACTGAAAATATAAAACTAATAAAGTTTTAAAGCTTCAATCATTTTCAAAATAGAAACTTACTGAAAATATTGAGGAAGCATCAATCCAAGTGAGCCAACAAATTGAGTGCAAACACAAAAAAAGCAGGCTATACATAGAAAGAGCAATAATACTCACCCTGGGCACGATAAAAAAAACTCAACCCTTCATCTTTTCAGCTTGCAGATACTTGTAAACACCATAAATAACTCTGATAAAACTTAAGGAAATTTTTAAACAGGTCAACTTGCCGTTTTAACGGATGTTTAACAAAGTCATGTATCAGAAGAACCGGAAAGCCATAAATGTTTGCCAAAATAACTAGCAAAACTCTCATCCTTGCCTTCAAGCCTAGAAATGTCACTTATAAAAGCAAATCAAAGTACTTGTAAATTCAAACCAAAGAGCATGTAAATGCAAACCAAAGGACGTCCCTTTGTTTTTCCAGCTAAAGAAAACCATCCTGGCATTGTGTCGGGAAAATCACGATCCAACGATCCAAAGAGAAAACAGATAAATACAATGAAATCCTATAAAATACCATAAAAAAATTGATCTTCCTAATCTCCTTACCACCTATTGCTCATTTATCACCACTCTAACCTCCAAAATAAATCCATCTCCCTCTACAAAATTACCATAAATAAAAAACATGTTTCAGTAAGATTGCATTTCAATTTAACCCAAATCAGGGGTTCGCAGGAAATGTTTTTGACACACCCTAACCATAAAAGAACAAAATTAAAAAAATAATAATAAAAGAATCTTCAGTAGGCGACCAATTGGTTAGGCTATGTTGTGAGAACTGTAAGTAGGGCAGAGAGTTGAGGCGATTCGTAAAGGGTTGCGCAGTTCAAATTAGTCGATCAATCTTAACTCCTCTCTGCTCAAATACACAGTCATCTTCACATCCTTGCCATCCCAATGCCAAAGTCAGTGCTTCTGTCGTTCAATCACAGAGGCATCGTCAGTCAGCGAGAGTAGATCCACGGCTCCGACTCCTCATCTAGCTTGAGAGCAAGTCCTTGGCA